CGCCGCTTGACTTCTGTTCAACTTGAGCCGGGCGGTCTCGGGTGCTTCTGCTTTGCGCCGACGATCGGAAACATGCCAGGCTCGTTACCGGCCTCGGGCCTGCGCGACGAAACCAGACCCTCGTGGGTGTCCTTTCCTGCTCTGCCTGCTGCCCCCGGTGCGCGTGTCCTCTCTTTTCTTATTTTCGCAGGAGATACTCAAACGCGAGAGGAGAAGGTGTCCTGCGTAGAAGTCTGTCACTAAGGAGTTGATTGTTTCGATTCCTCTTAACAAATCTGAACCTTGGGAACCGCAGGCTGTTGTTCAAGTGGGTCTGTGACTGGGAAGCAGGTTTCCGGGGCTTCAGTTTCTCCGTCGAGCAGTTGGCAAGTCGGGGCTGCCTTCCCTGCCGCCCTTCCGAGCAAGGTGCCCTCGGAGGAAACTGCTTCAGGAGTGAGGGCGTACCGTGTGTGGGCTCGATTCCTGGGCACACGCGACCTTCTGGAATTTCACTTTGCGGAGACTTTACACAGAATTCTAAGTTGTTCCTTTGCGCAGTTCATGCTTCTCTATTCTAATGTGTTGCTTTGCAGAGCTGTGAGACTTGTGTTCCATAGTTGATCGCTTTAAAAATGTTAACAAAAGCCGTTGGAATTATTTTTAGATTTTAAAATCTGAGGTGCCAAAACGTGGTTTCCTTTCACGGTGTGCAAATAGCTCTCTTCAGCACGACCTGGGTACAAAAAATAAAATATGATTTTTCATTTATATCTTCCCCAGTGACAATTGCCCACAAGTCACCAAAATGCCTTTTCTTGTGGGATTAAACAAGTATGTGTATACCTTTCTCTTCTTGTTTCAGTGTCTCAATTTAAAATGGTGAATTACTCCTACGATGAAGATCTGGAGGAGCTTTGCCCGGTGTGTGGAGATAAAGTGTCTGGGTACCATTATGGGCTCCTCACCTGTGAAAGCTGCAAGGTTTGCTCACAAGTTGCTACCTGAAAAATATAATGTTCAAAGCCCAAAGAAACCACTGGATTCCTTCTTTTAAGCTAAATTTAGGCTGTCTTTTTAAGATTCAACTAAGAGAAGGGAGAGTTAGTCTTAGGGAGATGATTCTTATAAATATGCGTTTGATTTAGTTCAAAAGGCAAAGAAATGTACCTTTGTTGTTTAGAAAACTTTGCCAGTCTCGTGGCTTTAAAATACTTTATTGTTCAAGTGATAGAACTGTAGAAAGACTTCCACTTCTAACAGCCTTAAATATTGATTTTGCTTGACTTATTTATATTTAAAGCATCATTGTTCTTGAGAGAGAATATGACAAAGTATTTCCCAAATACATTTTAACTTCAGAGTATTCTGTGCTACAAGTTTAAACATTTTTTATACACAGACATAAAAGTCTAAATTCCCAACTGTGTGATATCATCCTTATTTACTCCAAAAATAATTTTAAATGCCTTTTTGAAATTTATATCATAAAGACCAAGAAACTGAATTTTAGTTTTTAATAGAGTCATTTTCATAAATATCTCACATGATCTATTTAAGTGCAAGAACTTTAATATGTAAAAGGTACAATATTGTCACCAATAGCACCAAATATACTTTAAGAATTTGTGTCAGAACTTTTTGATGTATTCCCAGTAAGTTCCCAGTAAATTCAGTATTCACTGTTTTGCAACATTTTTTAAAAGTAGAAAACTCTGTACAATTACCAGCCACTACCAGGAAAACCCCTTCATTCTCTGTAACAAAGTAAGATTGTTTCTCTTTGTGGTTAGTAGGATAAATATGAATACGATCCTGGTAAAGTTGTCATTATATTATAAAGTTGCTCATTTAATGTTTGATTAATTCTTTTGGTTGAAATAAGCATCCAAAGTGCATGCTCTGTGTACTGCCATTCAGCTCTCTGCGATGCATGCTTTCTTTTCTTTTCCATTAGTTTCAGCTTTAAAAAAAAAACAGATCCCATACTTGAATGTATTCCAGTGGAATTATGAGCATGTCCCCATTTTACTCTTTAAGTTCTTTTGCTTTTAACTACCCAGTGTTGACATTTGTAAAAGATCTGAGGTGTTTTGCTATCCAGTTTTTCCACTGGCATTTTGCAGTGGTTTATCACTGAAATTATACCAGACTACTTAAAAACAATGCCAGATCTTCACAAGCACCTTTATCTGGAACACTTAGGTTAATAGGAAGATCAATCTTTAAAAAATGTCTGGTCAATATTGAGTGTATTTTTCCCAAGTATTGGGATGAAATGCTTTGTAGCCAGATCTCCCCAAGATTTGATGTAATTCTTCAGAAATATAACTTTGATGCCAGAAAAATCTCCAGTATGGCCTGGCACTCTTTTGGAGGATTGATCTTGCTGAAATGTAGAATAAACCACAGAACCACAAAATGGCTCATATGGTGCAGTGAAAGGACTTACTGGTGATTTCCTTAAAATGAAACAATGGACGAGACGGGTGTTAAATTTGTAATGCACCTCACTATTTTCTCTGTCTTATAGGGGTTTTTTAAGCGAACAGTCCAAAATAACAAAAGGTACACATGTATAGAAAACCAGAACTGCCAAATTGACAAAACACAGAGAAAGCGTTGTCCTTACTGTCGATTTCAAAAATGTCTAAGTGTTGGAATGAAGCTGGAAGGTAAGATTTTTTTTCTAAGACTACTGCCTATTAAAACTCCCCAAGGACATGGACTTTAAAACAGCATTGTACTTATAGCATGGTAACATTTCCCCCCCTCCCCCAGCATTTTAACACTATTGACAATAATGTAAGATCTTTTTATGTTTTGTCTGCAGAATAGTCTGAGTCTTGTTTAAACATGGTGACATCTACTAGGAAAAAATTTTTTTTTTAATATCAGTTGTTCCCCCCTCCCCCTTTTTAGTTTGGGAAGCAGATGTATTTGACACTAAAAAGGTCAGGTTAAATGAAAACAAGACTAAAGTGATTCAAGTGGGAACAAATTAATTTACAAAACTACAAAAAATATGCTTTATATTTTCAAATCAAGATGCCCTAGTAAAAGTGTGATTTCAATCTCCTTAAAATAGGTGTGCTTGTCATAATTGCTACTATTAATTTCATGATTCTTGAGCAAGAGTTAAAGCATTTAATTGGGAAAAGGAGTTTCTCATGTATAATTTTTGATAGTGTAGGACTGCACATTTCTTTTTTTAAGATAATGACTTGAGTCTATGAATTAAAAAAATTGAGAAGCAGGAAACATGAACTATAATGAACAATTAAACCAGTCGCTATGGTTTGACAAGAACAAGAGTAGTTCCTCAAAAGCCTCACTTAAACTTTGTTGAAAGAGCAGAACCTGTACTACAATGTGCAGATTGGCAGGCAGTAAAGTTAATATGTGACCGCAGTAAAGAATTTGTAGTTCGTGGATTATTATGGTGTGTTGCTGTTTTCTAGCCTCTGACCTACTGGCTTTCCATGGATTAAATATACTGCAGATAAAGCAATAACACGGGGTACATATCACCGATAGTGCTAGATACAAGAGTACATTTTATTTGATCAGTGAGGCACAGGCCATTTTTATTTGGAGCTTTTCTGTTATATGGAACTCATACTTAATAGAATACTTTAAAATTTTTATAAATCTTCTGAATTGCTAATAGATTCCGTCCAAATAGAAATAGCCACTTTGGTTATTATGAGGGCTATTAAAGTCAGTATTGTTTTAAAGAAGAGATTAAGAAAAGAGATCATTGATACTTATTTCCTTGTCACCGGTCATTTTATTGTATTCCAAATAGTGAAATATTTTAGTCGATGCTTACTGTAATGTGAGATGCAGAAGATAAGTAAATGTTGTGATTTTATACGATGTCATTTGTTTCTTTCAACAAAAGAAAAAGGTTGCTTTTTTTACCTTAAAAATTATGCCTTTTAATTGTATGTAAGTTACTTGTCCATACTTATGCTTCCTTAAGAGTGATATGAAATAACAGAATATTAAATACAGTAAATTATCACCCAGATGAAAAACTCTTTATAATCTTGAGCAATATTCTGTATATCTAGAATTCACAATACATTTTTAATGTGATACTAATCCTAAGATAAAAAGCTCAAAAAATGTAACCTCCAGCAATTTCACTATGCCACAAGCTGTCAGAGGTCTCTGGTTTCAGTCTAATTGTCATTGGTCATTATGGACTGAGAGAGAACTGCTAACTAACCTATTAAGAATGGTCCCAGACTCTACACCATCGTGGCAGAAGACCCTCTTGACAGCTTCTGAAAAGAATTTGCTTTAATTACACCAATTCTGCTTAAATTAAAAGGAATAACTGGTGGTTATCTGACATAGGCTCATCAAGTCCAGGTGAAAATGATTTTTTAAGAGCATGTCCCTAGCCCTTTTGCCATTGCAACAAAGTAGTCAAAATGACTTCGAAGGAGGAAGATTTCCTAAGGGAAAATATTCACAATTTAATTCAGAAATGAGTTATTTGATTCCCCCTCCCTCCACACACACACACATACACACAAACTCCAAAGCAGCTTGAGTTTCCATAAAGAATCATAACATAACTGGCATAATAGAAGCTAATATTCTTAGTAGGACAGCTGATACTCTTTTTCAGCAATATGAAATACTTTGATGTTTAGCAAAAATTATACAATCTCCTTAGTCCACAAAAGGGTTAATATGTTCCTATATATCCAAAAATTTTTGTTGATGACAACACACATTGGCGGAAAGAATTCATAAATACGGAGGACATGGTTTTTGGGGGGAAATCTTTGTGGGCTGTTGTAATGAAAACAACCACACACATATGACTTCTGATCAATTGTCAACATTTCTAAAGATCTGGAGATCTGAAGAATGCTAATCATTTTCACCTTATTTTTACCCTTCCTTCCTTTTCTTCCCCCTTATCAGCGGTAAGGGCCGACCGAATGCGTGGAGGAAGGAATAAGTTTGGACCAATGTACAAGAGAGACAGGGCCTTGAAGCAACAGAAAAAAGCCCTCATCCGAGCCAATGGACTTAAGCTAGAAGCCATGTCTCAGGTGATCCAAGCTATGCCCTCTGACCTGACCATTTCCTCTGCAATTCAGAACATCCATTCTGCCTCCAAAGGCCTACCTCTGAACCATGCTGCCTTGCCTCCTACAGACTATGACAGAAGTCCCTTTGTAACATCCCCCATTAGCATGACAATGCCCCCTCATGGCAGCCTGCAAGGTTACCAAACATATGGCCACTTTCCTAGCCGGGCCATCAAGTCTGAGTACCCAGATCCCTATACCAGCTCGCCTGAGTCGATAATGGGCTATTCCTATATGGATAGTTACCAAACAAGCTCTCCAGCAAGCATCCCACATCTGATACTGGAACTTTTGAAGTGTGAGCCAGATGAACCTCAAGTCCAGGCCAAAATCATGGCCTATCTGCAGCAAGAGCAGGCCAACCGAAGCAAGCACGAAAAGCTGAGCACATTTGGCCTTATGTGCAAAATGGCGGATCAAACCCTCTTCTCCATTGTTGAGTGGGCAAGGAGTAGTATCTTCTTCAGAGAACTTAAGGTATGCCGCCAGCTATTACAACTTACAATAACCCTTTCTTCAGAGACCTCGCTATGTTTCTAATTAATACATTCTTGGTGCTGAAAATACATCTTCCTTAATTTTCTACTTTGTATGATTTACAAATAGAAGTATTACTTTGACTTCAGGACTACTATAGCTTAACTTTATATAGAGTTTTTATTCTGTGTAGCTCTTCATTTGGGGGAATGACATTTAATATAAAAGATAGGAAACTTTTTTGTCTTAATCGTAGACTGTTATTTATTCCTTTTAACTTTGATGGCTTGTGGCTAAAAACAACAAATTAAGGCTTATGTGAAATAGTACTTAGTAAATTATTTTTTAAAATTACCTAGTACAGTTCTATTATAATGGTGTCATTTTGAAAAAAAAAACTACAGCTATATTATAATGGTGTCATCTTGAAGGTTTTTTTTAAAGGAAAAAAATGCCACCATTTAGTTTTGTTTAGATCTAAAGAATGAAAATGATACCACTGGTTAGTAGTAGCAAGTAGGTATTTACTACCTGTTGACTTGACATTAGGTTTGTAAAGTCTTTGTTTTGGGGGCAGATTCCAATAGGATATTTACTGTCTTTGGGAATGGGTAAATGGTGAGTCTAGTCTACTTGGCTTGGGTTTTAGTTCTCATAATCTATGTCTGTCATTGATGTTAATGGATTGGTACATTGTAAACACAGTGCTTGTTTGTATAGGGATCTATGTTTAACTACATAATTATTTTATTTCCTGAAACATAAGACTGAATTAGTATAGGAAAGTTATATAGAAGTTTGGAGTCTTAAGAATGGCTACCAACCCATACTTGGTAGCCAGTGGTTTCATTTCTGTTTTAAAAGTGAATCCTGGATTTAATTTCCAAGTATATTCTGTTATAGAATATATATTTTTCCTTTTGCTGCCGTGGGGAGAGATGTGGCTGCTAAATACCCATGACTTCTGATTACCTAGAACAGGTGATTTTAAAATCTCTGAGAGAAGAAAAATACAAAGCTGATTTTTAATTTAAATGTTGGGAGCCTGTTGGGGCTACTGTTAAAAATGGTCTGTGTCGCTAGATGGACTAGGTAATATGAAAGCCGTGTGCAAATGGAAAATAATAATTTCATAGTAGACTTCACTAAGCATTGTTATTTGTAACGGAAACAAAAAAGTTAACCTGAACAGTTCTAAATAAGTTAGTAAAATACCGCCAGCATGCTGTTAAGATAGCTGACATACCCAACTCTTTATTCTCATTTACTGCTACATTTAAAAATGACTGAAGAGTGTATCAAGCTGCACTGTGGCATGGGCAGGCCAGATATTTTTTGAGTATGTAGTTAGTGTCTGTAAGTGTCTCTATGGTAATCAGGACACTTTTCATTAAAGAAAGAAAAAACATTTTCCTAGTATTCTTAAATTCACAACCATATATCCTTATGCGAACAGGCAAAGTATTTGAAAATGAAAATGATAATTTTAGATGCAGTTGAAAGGTTAGATAATGTAACAGTGAGGGAAGCACAGCGTTTCTACAATCAAATGGACTTAGTTTGAATTATACTTTCACCTCTTAATAATTGTGTCCTCACAGGCAGGTTGTTAGACACTCTGAGATGTAGTTTTTCTCATCTGTAAAACTGTATACGTGGTATTTGTGGAGGAGGATGGAGGGCATGGGCATCACAGTACATATATTGAGAAGGTTTTGCAAGGATCAAATTGAGAATATGTAGATGAAATGCCTAGTACTGGGACTCTGGCATATACTACATATCCAATAAAGTGATGCCATCTTAAATTGTTTTCATTGTTTTATGAAAAGTATGCAGGATCTTTACATCATTCTATCTTATATTCAGGAAAAAAACATGTAGTTTTTGCCTCTTAGTTTAACATTGGGAAACAATAATGCCACATGTGTTATAATTTATTATAATGTCATTAATCAGTACTAATTAAGAAGATAAAATTTGCCAAGCAGTAAGTTAGGTATAAGATAAATACAAAGTTGAATAAGAGAAAATGTTTCCTCAGTTTATGATAAAGTAGTTACATTATAAATTTTTAATGAAATAACAACAGCTACAGAGAATAAAGATATATTTCACAGATCAACAAGAAAAGAAATGATGCATATTATTTACATGTAAAAAAGGAAACATTATAGAGTGAACATAGCTAGCCATAGGCAGGACTTCAAGAGTGTGGGGAAACGCTCTTTTCCCCAATTCCTCTTTGCCTCTGCAGATAAATTCTACAATGAGATTCTTGTATATGGCATGAGGTTAAATATTTGGCTGAAACATAAATATATTTGAGAATGGATGATTGTTAACTATTGGAACTGTTGTTTAATGCATTTATCAATCTTTCTTAGAAATATGGAAAAGGAAAGGGAAAAAAATGTACAAATACTAGAGGTAGCTATAAGGGGTGGGAGGTGTTCTGGGGGAGAAAGCAGTTGACTCATTTTGCAGTTTGCCTTGGGCTTATACTGGACAGGAGTAATTCAGTTTAAATATTTTTCAGAGAACGAATCATAGAATTCAGAGTAACTAAAGGATAGTTTCAAAAGAGAGTTGTGCTATGACTACATTTGGAAGAACTTTTCCTTTCATTTATAAATGTACCTTGTCAAACACAGCAAGTTGTTTGAAGCCGGCATTGAGATGTTTCCAAGGCTGTGGCTTTCAAAACTTTTAACCAGGACCTGCGATAGGAAATATATTTTATACTGGGACATGGTGTACCAAACACATCACACACACACACACAAATATACAACTGAAACAAAGTTTTACTAAATAGTATATGACCTAAATGTCACGCACTCAGGTATTTCCTATTCTATTCTGCTTTAGTCTAATTTATTTCATGTTTTTAAAAAAAATTCTTGTCATGACCCGCTCAATTGATTTCACAAACCACTAATGAGGCTTGACCTGCAATTCAAGAAACATTGCTCTAGGGAAGGTTTTGTCACCCACCCACTGGGCGTTGCCTATCTCTCCCCACTAATGACAACTCCTAAAAAAGGCCTCTTCCTCCCAGCTTGGCCTGTAAGACGTGCCTGAAACCTACAGCCTGAATCCCCAGTCTTTCTGTAAAAGTTGTGATTTCAAAATATCATTTGGGACTTTGAATGTTCTTTAAACATTAGTCTGTTTCTTACTAACTTCACAGCAAATTACCCATCAAATGGTATAAGTGCTTAAACCTCTACAACCTCTGTAAGCAGATTGTTAATATCTCTAGAACCCAAAAATGAAAACTTACCTATTTGCTCCTAAGTAGGCAATTTTGCAAATGATCCTTAGCTCCCTCTCCCAGGACAGTTACATTCTCTACCACGTAGAAAAGTTTTCATTTGTTTACCAGTTAAGGGAACAGAAGGACCAGGAAGTTTGGTGAGTTGTTTTGTTTTTCTATACATCTACAAGGTGCAAAAAAGGTATTTTGGTTTCCACTAAAAATATTGGAATGAGAAAGAGGAAATCACAACTCGCAAACTCTTAGCACAAAATTACAACTCGCAAACTCTTAACACACAAAATAAACTGTACTCATAGAAACCATGGAATGTCAGAGCTGGCAGATTTCAGAAAGGGAAAAGGATTAGAGCACCTGTAAATGAGCTGCTTTGTTTTTTGTTTTTGTTTTTTATATACCCGTAAGGGGCAATTCTGGTTTCCACCCAAAATAATGGCATGAGAAAGATGAAATTAATTGTCTGAAATTTGGAGTTTTTGCAATAGCAGATGCACATCAAAAGATGTTCATTAGGCCAGGCACTGTGGCTCATGCTTGTAATCCCAGCACTTTGGGAGGCCGAGGTGAGAGGATTGACTGAGTCCACGAGTTCAAGACCAGGCTGGGAAACTTGGTGAGACCTCATCAATTAAAAAAAATAATAATTAGCTGGGCATGGTGGCACATGCCTGTAATTCCAGCTACTTGGAAGGCTGAGGCAGAAAGATCATCTGAGCCCAGCAGGTCAAGGTTGTGGTGGTCATGAGCGTGCCACTGTGCTCCAGCCTGGGTGACAGACTGAGACTCAAAAAAAAAAAAAGATACTCATTGCCCACTTTGGGAGGCTGAGGCAAGAGGATTGCTTGAGCCCAGGATTTTGAGAACAACCTAGGCAGACAGAGAGACCTTGTCTCTATTAATATATATTTTTTAAAATAAAAAAAATATTCATTATCTAGAAATCACAAGGTTTTTCGGAGCTAGAAGAGATGATATAGATATCTGACTCCTATCTCTTTTTACACATGAAGAGACATATGAAGCAAATGCCTTTTACATATAGGGCAGGAGAGGGAAGGTGACTTGCCCGAGATTATACAGTGATTGCATGGCAGAACTGGAACTGGTAGATTCAGGTTCAAAGGAGCAGTCCTTCTGTGCACACTCCTCTCCCCAGCCCCCAATACACACAGACACACACACACACACACACACACACACGCGCACACACACACACACACAAATAGACAAGTGTAAACTTTGACTTCAGAAACACAGGACTTTGCCAGTGAAGCTAATGCAAAGCTCTAGATTATCAGAAGTCCATCACTACCATCCTACTAGTGGCCTGTGGCCTAGCACTTCTGGGCCTTGAAAGAGTAGGTCTGAAGCCTTTGCCTAGTGTCTTGCCCTCTCACATAGTTTACTGTCCAGGAGAATCCGATTCAGCCCCAACATATGGGTTGTGCTGAGCAATTAAGATGGCTCAACACAATCATATCCTGTGCTCTACTTGAGGCTGGGACTGTCCCACGTGGGTTTCTTTTTTAATGTATATTTATGAAGATAGAGAGTGCAGGGTGCTCTTGGGAAACACATACAATACAATTGGAAAGATACTGAGATTAGCAAAGCTCTCACTCAAGAATGACACACAAATCCATGAAGCCATCCATTAAAAAAAAACCACATGATTGTAACCAGGTGATTGGTGAGCCACTAATCACAAAATTTTTGGAAA